TCTTTTTTCTTTAAAGATTTTGACTTGTCTCTTTTGAAACTAGTCTCAATTGATTTTGCTTTGTTAAAGTTTTCAACATTTTTCATTTTTTTCTTCTAACCTAACTACTCCTGAATTTTATCTATTTGTACACTTTCTCTAGTTTGTTTCTTACTCTTTAAATATATCAATGATTCTTTATATTTAGTAATTTTTTATCTTTTGAATTTAACTGTCAATTCTTTTCTCTTTTCTATCTCTTTTTCTTGTTTATGTTCTAAATGTCTTTTCAAATTGTATATCCAATTTGAAAAGTCTTCTAGTAATATTATATTATAAAAATATGAATTATCATGATATTATTTATAAGTTAACTAGAACACTTGAATTGATTTCAAATATTTATTCAAATATTTTAACAAATCCTTTAACTATAAGTACTTATAATTAATATTATAATTATTCAATATTAAATATTTTGTCAAAAAATATTTCTTCAGAGCACCAACTGTAATCATATATATTTATTTTTATTTTTATAGAATTTTCCAGATCAAACTTACTTTCTTCAAATAAATGAACCTTTATTTTTTTAATTATATCAATTAATTCATTTTGATATTTGACAACTTTCTTTGACCTTTATTCAATAAGCAACTGTGTACTTTTAATTCTTTATACTCTTTTTTTAATTATTCATTAAAAATTAATATTTGAAGATAGTATAAATATAGAATATTATTAATTTTACTTTATTTAATCAGCTATTTGCATATAAGCAATGATTGTCCATTTATAGTTTTCTAGTTTTTACCTTTTGATATCTTTTTCTTTAATAGTGATATAAATATTTAACTATTTGTTTATTTGCTTTCATGAAAAATTAAAATATGGGATTATAGATTTTATTAATTCAGATATTAACTTTTGTAATATTTTTTTATTTATATCACTCAAAAAAACTTTGTCTATTCTCAGTTTATATTCATTAAAAATAGTTTTTATTAAGGCCTTCATTTCTACTCTTGCTTTCTCTAGTTTCAACTTATCTTTGATAACCAGTTTTACCAGTTTTGTCACTTTACTACTTCTCTGAAATTAAATTCTTCAACACTTTCCTAAACTTGGCAAACTTTCAGATTCTAATATATTGGTTACTCTAAATTCTATAATTACTATAGGATCATGTTCAGGTTCCATAGATTTGAGCTGATCAATTTTCTTTTTTAATTTTTTATTTCATTTTTGCTATTCTAATTCTTCAGAAAACTTGTTATTAATATATTCAATTAGATCTAATTGTTTTACAAATTTGACATTTTCTTTTTCTAGTTTTTTGATCCATACATATAATTCTTTATTTTTAAATAAATCAGTTGATTGATAAAGATAAATTTTATTAATTCAGTAATAATTTAATTTTAACCTTTTTTAATATCCTTCTTGATTCAAGTTTTAGATAGCAATTCAACTTCTGGACTTGATATTTATATAACTACAAATACTAATATTTCAGACAATACAATAGATGACCTTCTTATAAGCAATAAACTGTTATAATAAGAATTGAAGATTCAGCACCAGATGTTACTGAACAAACTATTGCTATTTCTAATGCAGTTAATGCAAAAGAAGTTTGTAATAGCAAGGAAGGTTATTAAGATTGCAAAGGTGAAGATAATTGTTTTCTGTAAAAAGTATATCCATTAGCTTTTTTTGTTTAGATATTTTGTAAAATGAAAGTAAATTTTGCTGCTTCATTTATTAGCTTGATTTTACAGATGCCTAAAATATTTATGTTAAATTCTTGTATAAGTTTATATAGCCTTTGTTGATCCAGGTTGATATTAATTCCTCTAACATTATGTATTTCAATTGAGATGGTATCAGTTAATATAGAGTTATCTATAGTATACTTGTTATATAGTGTATACCCTTTTTCAATTTTATTACTAGTGTTCTTTTTGATTGTGTTAATAAAGTCATCTAATAATATGTCATGTATTATATCGGAAGGATTATATTAATGTCTACTGTTTTTTTAAAATTGTATATTTTTTTTAGAACAAGTTTGTTTTTCTTATGAATCAAACTCTCTTTTAATATACTTTAATTGAACTAGTACTAATTTCAGAAGTGATTGTTCTATCACTTTCTTCTTACCCTATTCTAGTTAACAGTTTTCTTCTCAATTAGGTTTATTCTATTATTTAATCATTTGAGATTATTCAAGATCTAGTGAAGAGAGTTTTGATTATTTTCACTTTCAAATTAGAAACTTTCAGATCTATTGTATAACCTTCTTCTTTTATTACAATAATTGATTGGCTCCCTGTTACTATCAGTAGTGAAGCATCTGAAAGTTTCTGTTATTCTAATAATGTATTTATTGCTTTGAGAATTGCATCTTCTTTTTCTTTTTCTTTTTTCTAGGTTTGTTCTTTTCTTAAAGTCACTTGTTGTTTTTGAGTCTTACTCAGATATTATGTATCAGTTTGTTCTGATATTACTTTTAATATTGGTTTGATCCAGTTGTCTTGAGTATATTTTGACCTGTGTTGTTTCAAAATGGATTTTTTCTTCATTATCATTATTGTTTTTGATTTGAGCTCCTTTATAGCTTTGCATTGCTTCTTTTCCAAAGTGTTCCTTAGTATTTTAACTAAGTTTGTGATCATATATAAATATACATTGTTTCAAAGCCTTATATAGATTTTCTACTATTGTAAAACAAATTATTGCATATTTTCTTCTTTTTAAAGTAAATAGATTTCTTGATATATAACATGCTTTAGCTCTTGCATGTTGTGTTGCTTTTGCTATAAAACTTATGAAAGTATTGTATATTTCATATAATCATAGAGACTGACTATTATGATTTTTGAGAATAGTATTAACTTCATAATCATCTGATTTATATTGGATAAAGATTGTCCTAAAGTTATATATTTTGACATGGATAAATTATTCATTCTTCAAGTTTTGGTATTTTGAAATAAGTTATACCTTGATTCTTCTTTGAAAACAAAAGTGATTGTAAATATATATACTTAAAACCTTTTTATATTTCTATAAGGCAACTTTAATTTCTTGACAAGTATGGCTGTAGTTAAAATTAATCAATGTAACAATTACTATCTTGTTTTCTTTTTTTGGTATCTCTTGTTTGAAAAACTTCTTTTTTGGTGATAAGTATGAGGTTTTCCATTTCTTTACTTATATAGAAATCAAGTTGAAGTTTTCTTCTTCTTTTTTATTAATTTTCTCTATATATTGTAAAACATCTTTAACTTTCTTAAAGGTAAAAGTTATTTAGACATTACATTGAGAAAGTTTTTTTTGAATGATAGCATATCTTTGAATAGACTTAGGGCATCTTGAAAATATATCATTTATTTTTTTTTTTTTGTATTTTCTAATATCTTAAAAATAAGAATTTTAATCTTGAATTCTCTTTTTTTGATGATATTAAATGGATTTGGATTGAATAACTTGGGTTTATTCCATGTATTATAGAAGGTTTGTTCTATTATATTTTCTTCTTCAACTCTTTCTTGAATATTTTTTATTTCAAGTTTTTTTTCAAACTTTTCCTTTAATTCTTTATTATCTATTTTAATTTTAATTTCTTTTGAAATTTCAATCTCGGTTGTTGATTGAACTTCCATGTCCTTGTTTAAAGAGTTATTTTTATCTGAGGTTGAATTTCCTATTATAGAGTTTATGAATTTGTTCTTGGTCTAGAAAGTTTTAGAATATGAAAAGAGAAACTATTTGTAATAGTATCTTGTTCCAATATACATTTGACTTTTTTTTTTCAAGAAGGGTGCCATAAGATCTTCTTCTTTTTCTGGATCTTGTTTTCATAGATATAAAATATGCTATTTGAGAATCTCAGCTTTAATAAATATAGTTGAATCTATAGTATATTTAAAATTTTTATAATAATATTATCAAGTATCAAGTATTCTACTGATTTTGAACTTGTCTTATATAGTAAGAGTATTGAAGATAATTTGGGCAGTTCATGTTTCTTTTCTCTGATTATGCTTTTCAGCTATTTTGACTATTATATTGAGAATGTGGAACTCTTTCTTTTTTACAATTTACATAATTTTCTATTTCTTTGTTATATTGATTATATGTAAAGGAGAATAAATTGCTAATTTGTTATATTATTTATCTTTTTTGTTTGTTTATATTTAGTAAGATTTGTGGAGTTGCTTGTTTGTTGTCTTGTTTGGAATATTGTTTACTCGAATGAATTATTGATCCTTTTTGTTTTAATTTATTTATTTATCAAAATGATTATTGATCTTCTTTGTTATAAAGAAAGGACTATTTGTTTATAAACTTATGATGAACCATACTATGTTGTTTTGATACTGATTTATTTAACATGTATGTGTTTGTATAACTTGTTTTGTTGTTTAAACAGATATATATGGAATCAGGATACTCTATTGTTTAATTCTTGAGAGCTTTTAATATTCTTTTGAATTTTATAAATTTTAAAAATTTTTTGATTTATTGATGAAAACTATTTGTTGATGAAAGTTTTTTGTAATGCCTAAAAAGGTGTAAACCAATACTGACCTGATTAGAAACTTGAAAAGTTGATATTAGACTCTCCTAAACTTATTGTGAATCAATTTGTATATGTGTTTTTCTTTCTTTATAAAGTAAAGTAAAATAGAGTTGAAATGATATTATATTACCTATACTTCTTTTGATTGATAAAATAATCTTTGTAAAAGTGACTAAATGTTGTAGTTTGTTATTAAGTCTCAGATCTTTGAAGGATAAAGTGTGTTAGGCTGGCTTCTCTTTTCCAAGAAAATTACCAAAAAAGGAAATTGTACATATATATTATTATAGATATAGTATAGATCTCTAATTAGCAATTCTAAAATCATATCTACTACTTGAATGATGGATATTTAAATATCCGCATAATCTGACAGGGGAGGGTGGTTTTGCCCGTGAAATACGCTACCCGAAATATTTGAAATTGACAAATAATGGACCTCACTTCTGAGTTTCGAGGAATGGTTAATGACTTTTCAGCCCTCACCGATAAAAGTCGAAAGAAACGAAACGACGTTCTTCCGCCAGTGAAAAAGAAGTTGGAAGTGCAGGACGAATTCTTAAAGGAAGCCTACCGAATAGTAAGTATCTGATTCTGTTTTTTGATTCTTCAAAAGCCTTTCACATTGATTTCACGTTTTCTTTAGGCTTCACACATAAACAACTTAAGAAACTTTCTTATTTCAATTCGAAAAGCTTATCTAAATACTTCGCGACAGAGTCCACTCTCGAAGGCTAGTTCCTGCGTTCCTTTGTCGATCGATGGTAGTTCGGATCAAGGTTTGACATCCACCAGGATCGGCTCCTTTACAACTTTAACGGATAAACAGCGAGACGAAATTGATTCACAGGCCAAAACGATAATTCAACAATGTTTAGAGAGGATAAAAAAATTGGAAGAAGCTGAACAAGGTTTTGATTTAACGTTAGGGGATATGATATCGTGCGCATGTCCAAATTATTTATCAAGTCATTATTTTTTCATTGATTAGTTCGGCAGAATTCCATTTTGAGTAATACCTGGACAAAGATCTTGTCCACAGCATTCTCTTACGAAGAATGTGATATCTTAGCCGCAATTCGAAGTAGTGTTACATGGTATTTGAACAAAAGGTTAACCGAGGTTTCAAAAATACAAAAGGATCAACAAGAGGCTAGGATTACGAGGGAGATTGAAAGACGAGAAAGGTATTAATCGCTATGCTCTCGGAACAAGCTTGTGACATGTATTAAAAATTTTTTTTTCTTTTTTTTTAAATGTATTTCTTTTAGTACACTTTATAAAACACCGACTGTCAAATCAAATGCTCAGAAACAATCTCTTCAGACCCTGATAAAAGAGGAAAAAGAGGTTTCTTCGGAAAATGAAGGGATAGTTGGTAGCATAGACGGAGATGATATCGAGCAGCACTTGTCCGTGGAACAGAAAATGATGTTGGAAGTGGAAAACGAATCCATGATTAAAGAGCTGGCCACCGAACTGGAGCAAATCAAGCAAGTTTCTATCCATACCTTTGTTAATTTTGAAAGTTCTTCTGCAACACAGGATGACCTTTTTTTTTTCGATATTTTCAGTCAAGCGGAAAAAACCTTGCTAGAAATTTCAAATTTACAATCTTTATTGTCGAACCACTTAATGCTGCAAACTCAGCAAACGGACCGATTATACTCCGAAGCTATTGCCACCACGGCTAGAGTTCAAGAAGGAAACATAATGCTAACCAAAGCTAGGCAAAGAGCTTCTGATACAAGGAAGTGGATATTAATTTTTTTGATTGTGGCAAGTTTTGTGTTATTATTTTTGGATTGGTATGATTGAAATAATTGTAGAAATAGGTATAAATGTAATTTGTATATACATCTTTCATCTTTTATTAAATTGAATGATAAAAATTTTGTAATTTAATTAATATTAAAAGAAGAAACAACAGTTTGATTTAAGAATTCCGTTCGCGGTAATATAAGTAGTACACAATATTTTAGGAAAATCGTATCATTCGTTGTTAATTATGTAAACAAAATTGGCATGGCATTTTGTTTTATTCAGTTGTACCCTCTGTTACCGCGGTATCTTTTCCCTTCTCCTCGGCAGGATCTTTGTCACTCGCCTGTTTTTTCTTGTTCTTTTTCTTAGTTGGTCGTATTTCGGTGGACAACAAGGCTAAAATCTCCTCATCCTCCACTTTCTTTTCACTCTGCACAATCTCTGGATCGTACGGAATATTGGTGATCTTCATTGTACCGTTCTTAGTCAGGAGGATGGTGTTGAAGAATTGTACCACGAATTCGCCTGAAGATCAGCGAGACGAATAATTAGTCATATTAAATTTTCGTTCATGACAGAGAAGCGACGCTCACCTTCCTTTTCCTGGTACACATCGTATGGCGTTACTAAGGAGTGATTGGAACATTCTACTATTCCCATTCTTGCTTTTTTCTCATCCCCCAATGCCCTCAAGGGGAAAGGAAACGACCCAAATTTCTGACTAATTTCACTAAAGACAATTCGAGATGTCTTCATTTTTAGTGAATAGCTATTATTGGTCTTTCTGTAAACGGTCGTACGTGTGGTAGATGGTTTAGGCTTTAAAAGTAAACTGAATAAGTAATGAAAATGTCAACAGTGATAATTGAGCAAGCCATCTCACCTTGCCTTCCCCGGTCGAGACTAATATATCAATGCCATATACTTCATTTACTTCAAAATTTACACTCTTAAAATCTCGCTTGTGTTGCTCATTCGGATTAAGAATTATTTGTTTCTCGCCTTCAATATTATTTTTATTTTGTTGGTACGATAACATGCCTATTTCAAATTAGAGAGTGTAAGATTCAAGGAATTCGGATAGTTCCATTTGATGTACACAACCAACGCTTACCCTCCACAGAATTTGTTTCAAACGATCTTGCTATCTTTTGTATCGTCTCAGTCACCTTCATATTGTTCGATCCAGGCTTTACCAATCGCATAGCAGCTTCAGATGCCAAATGGGCAGCAGTCAAAACATCAGCCAAACGACCTTTGACCGGGTTTTCCTTTGATGCACCAACGACAATGGTGGTAGCCACGATAGCAGCATAGCCATCAACCTGTGCACCCAATTGAATCTTTACTAGGTCACCGTTTTTTAACGTCTCAGCTCCTTCAGGATCAGAAGGTAACGGAGAAAAATGGCAGATGGTATGGTTGACAGAAATGCAGGTGGGAAACGCAATACCTTAAATGACGAAATTTTGGGGATTCATTATGACCATCCTTGTCATTTACATGCCAAAAAAAGTATGGACGTCTAACTTTGATTTACCTTTTTGCATATTTTTATTTCTTGCGTAAAGAGCTTTCACACCCTCTTCGATTGATTTATCGCCCAATGTGCATAGATCCAGTATTCTCACTCCGTCAACCGCGGATTCGATCAATTTTTTGAGTACACCTATGATTCAACAAAACAAAGAATGCGTTGCTCTAGACTTCGGAAAGGTAGTATTATTCACGTCAAGCTGCTTGCTTCTGGAATTCATAGAAGGAAATGAAAAGTACAAACTTACGATTCGAAACTTCTGCCACCATATTGTACTTTGTTACGACTTCGGGATTTTCCACAGTTTGGATTTCTTTTTCTTCACTTGCTTCATTCTTATCGACCATTTCTTTTTTTTTTATATATATAACAGAAAGCATTATTCGCAGTAAATAATTGGGCGCTTAATTCTTCGAGA